ACGGCCAGTACGTAACGCAGGGATCTTTGTGTAATCCAAGGCCTGGGCTTAGAGCAGGTAGTGTAAGCCTCATGGTTGCTTGATTCTGAATTTCCCAGAGGCAGGAATCCCAAAATAATTTTAAGCGGCTCAGGTGAAAATGTTTTGTAATACAGTTATCACCCTACCACAGTGCCTCTCATGCTGAAGCCCACCTCATGTACGTCATACTTTTCTTCCCGTTTGTCACCTGGCAGCCTGCCCCTTGTTTTTGATGCCCGATAACTCTGTTCAGTTGCTTCCTGAGTTGAACTTTGCGATACAGTCACTGTACTAACTCCAGGCTAGATACAGAACTTGTCTGCTCCCTCATCTAGTGGCCTACATAAAGAAAAATTAAACTATTCCCTGAACTTTAATCAAAGTTTTACCCCCCCGATAGAAGCATAAAAAGTTAGCATTATCCTAAAAAGCCAGCCTCATTTAACTGCAAGAATTTTTGTAAATGTCACTGACCAGCAGAGGCTGGCACTCCTTTTCTCCAGTTCAAGTCTAGGACACTGCCCAGCCCCCCCTTCACCTCTGCAGTGACCTGGAGGCACTGAACTTACTGTAACCTCACTGCTCAGCAGCATTTAGCCAGCATTTAGCACCAGGAATTACACTCTTCCTTGCAGCTATCCTCCCTTTGGCATCCAGGCTGCTGTTCAGGATACTCTTGGTGCCTCACATCTTTCCTTCGGCTTTCTCTGCATATCCCAAGTTCAGCTGCAGGCAGGGCATTTCCGCCTGCCTTCCTAAATTTTTTTTTTTTCATTTTGCAGACGAGACTGTCATGCTGAAGTGCAGCTGCAATCCACAGTCCTGAGCTCATAGTTGAGATGACTAAGATAGAACCCATTTCCTGCCCCCGACCCCACTTCTCTGATAATTGTAGACGTGAGCATTTAGAGCTGCAAGTTGAACATGATGGCCAGAAGCGCAGCTAGCACAGTTCGGCCATTGCAGGAATGGAACAGAGAGGTACAGAAAAGAGTAATGATGATACAGGAATGCAGTTTCCCATGAACCAAGACTAAACACCTATTAGGCCTTTTCCACGTAAGCAATAAATAAGGTAAGGCATGAGAAGGTCATGCTGTAAAAAAAGTCATTACTCAATAGGAGTACACAACAGAACAATGAAGCAGCAAGGTTTAAAACAAAACAAAAAATGCACAGTAGTGAACTTCTTAGATAATCTATTGTACTCACTGCCACTGAATGCTGAATCTTGAACGCAGACATTAAAAAATAATTAGGCAGACACATGGATAACAGATACATAAATGGCTGTTAGAACAGCGCTCTGGATAACTGTGTCAGGAACACCTTGATAATGGTACCAAGAACACTGTTTGCCACAGGCATGAAAAGTATGGCCCCAACTAGGGGCGGGACACCTTATACTTACTCAAAGAATTATTACTGATCACCATCAGACAGACAAGAAAGACCTCAGGCCTGGCCTAGTACAGTGGTTTAGGATTTAAACACTCACACAACAAACTGAAAAAATAACATAGAGCCCAAGAGGAAAGGCTGTACAATTACAATTAATTAAAATAACCTCAATTCCCCCCCTTCTGACTTTGATAAATGCAATTTGGTTTTACTCCACCCCAATTAAAATGAGAAAACTCCCAGTCACAGGTCATGCCTTTTACTTCCCTTCCCTGCCTTTTCCATAGCTATTTCACTGAACTGCTTACGCCTGTTTTTGGAGCTTGCTGTGAACGGCTAGAGGGAGATTCATCCACCTCCGAGATTAGGCTCCCTCATCCACTTTCTCAGTCTTCACGGTCCTCTCCTTTGCTAGTCGTGAGTTTTGTGAGAACACGCTGGAGAACGATGCAATTCCTCTTTTCCTTACAGATTCAGAGATGCTGACAAGGCTTACCTGGCTGATGCATTCCAAGTCAGCAGACAAACTGTAATCCCAGCCTTCCCCTCCCATCCACCCTAATTCCACAGTCTGTTTCATATTAATATTTTAATCCCCAGAAAGCAAAATGCAGTATTTGAGTTTCTATCTGTGCAGCACTATAGGGTTCATTTGACTAGTCCACCTACAAGCACTTTTATTCTACATTTTTTGGTTGGTTTTTTTGTTTGTTTTTGTTTTTTTTAAACTTACCATTCTTTTTCACCCTGTATTTGCCTAAGGGTGAGAAGCCACATCCTAATCAACCAAAGGCACCCACCTTTCCGCCCCCGATGGGCTGGGGCTCGCTCCTCTGAAATGAGAGCGTGAGAGGCAAAGGAAACTGTAAAACAAGTAGCTGTGGATTAGACTGGTTTTGATTGCACTGATGAAAGAGTTCAAAAACTTTATTGACCTATAACCTGATTAGAATATGCCAGATGAGAACCAAATATTGTACAGAAAGTTGTACAGAATTTTTTTTTACATAGAAAACTTTACATATCTGTACCATATACATTTTGTCCATCTGAAAAAAATTTCTACATCCATTGTAATACAGAATGCTTGACAATCTTGTCTTTTAACCATCAGAGCACAATTCACAGTATGAATACATTTCCAATAAATTTAACCATCCCCAAACCATGCCAGATTTGTTACTTGAATATATTCAACACTAAATTCTGTACATAAAGAGTGAAATCTACATCAAACGAAAAACATCTGACAGCAGACACAACCTAGACTTGTTTGCAGTGATTCAAGTTCCAGTCCTTGAAGGATCATCATTTCGATGGCTCGTTATATTTAAAAGCCCTAAAACAAGTATATTACAGGTAGTTACGTCAGTCATGATATTTCTACCTCTGTTCTTGACAAAAGTCAGCAACACTTAACTCCTGGGCTACAACAAACCACCCCCCCCCCCCCCCAAAAAACAAAAAAAAAAGAAAGAAAAAAATCACAACCCCCAAAAATAAACCCAAACTTCTAGTGCATTTGGTAAACAATGAAGTGTTATGGGTTTTCAGCAAATCAATAATACAGAAATAAAACAATTGAGGAAGAACTGTATAGTGTTAAAGAGTTTATATTACAGACCTGCATATCTGTACATTTTTCACAGAAGGATGATTACCAATGTCTCAGACAGCCTGAGTGTGCAAAAATCTTAGAATAAGAATATCAGACATAGTTGCTAAATATCTTTTACCATGAACAATAATCTCCATTCTTTTCACTATAAACATTTTATCCTTCAAAATACAGCTCTCCTGAGTTGTACTTCTTGCAGAAGCTCAAACCTTTACATATATAGTTCTTTGGGTACATTTTACTTTCACACCCGCCATAAACATCTGTTGCTATACTGCTGTCTAGGACAGTAAAGGATATTGCAGCCCATGCCGACGAGAGGACTGTGCTAAAAACTGGCTCTGTGCTCAGCATGAGCCAGGTAAGAGAAACCGATAGAGACAATCCATCAGGAAATACAGGGACTGGAGTGTTGCAAGCCTTAATTACAGTTGTAAGCAGCTGTACCGTTAACCCTTGGATACACATTGCCATACAAAGAAACCTTTTTTATGGATATCCAGACAGAATGGCTCAGCTACCTGGTCCTTTTATTTAGCTGAGGAGTATCAACTTTTAAACGGAGTCACTATCTGCTACTGCTTGCTGATTCCAGACTCTTGTTCCGGTGGTTGGGATATTTGGAAAACCACACCAATCCGCAGGAAAAACCTTCGTAGAACAGCTCGAAGCTCAGGAATAAGGTCGAACTGCATAATTTCACACAACAGGGGATAGTAGAATGAGGCATGAGCCTTGAACTGAGGAGAAAACAAACAGAAGAAATGATTGTAGTATGCATCGATACACCTCAGAAAGCACGTTGCGAGTGAAGAATTTCAAGTGCTCTCTCAAGTCAAGGTGAGAAACCTGCAAAGCGACGAGCAGAAACATCTTTGTAACTGAAGCTAGCACTGCTAGAATAAGGCTAAGACAGCTGTGATGTACTCTAACAGATGCTCCCTAGCTACACACAGCTCCTTGCTAACTCTTATTCTTCAAGAGGAAGAATTTTTCTATTACCAGTTTTTTGTTGTAGTTGGCCCCTTTCACCTAATAGTTCAGCTGAGTTGTGTTAGAAATAGAGGGAGGTCTAAATATGGATTTATGTACTGCAGAATTGGTTTGGAGAAGATCAAGGTGATGTACATGTGGGACTGGAAGCAGAAACCAGAGTTATTTCTTTGAATAAAGTATCAGCCACTAATCCTCTTCCTCAGCAGGAGAGGGGTAAAAGCAACTTAGCACACACTTCTGAGGGATTTTAGCGTCTTTTAAATTTTCCCAGACACATTTTATTTTATCGCTCCCTGCACCCTCACTCTGCATTACCACTGTCGCTATCTGTCAAGTGCAGTTTCAATGTACGTTCCCTCAACGAAGAGTGTCTACAGAGCAGCAGGAGCTTTTACAGTCGAGTATGTAACTGTGCGTGAAGAACTGGTCTGGAACTACTTCTTACCTGTACGTGTTGTCTTAAATACCATTCTGAACAGTTACTTACCCTTTCATCACTTATCTTCAGGACTTTAGTCAAAAATAAGAGTAATAGATTAGTCCAGGCTTCCCGATGACTTTCTGATGTAAGAGTGAGGAAATAACTCAGAGCCTCACTGCAGACACTAGAGAGAAAAGACACAAAAACTAGTACAGAACATTTTATTTTGAGCTCTACTGCAGAGGGAGAGCTTTGGCTTTGCAACTATACCAGTGTAGAGCCCTGGTGTAAACCAGCATTGTTTTACGAAAGCTACTGTAAGCCTGATTAGTGATAGAAAACAGTGATTTTGTTCAACTCAAACCCAAAGTCCTAGGACTTCAGTATTAAATGTGCCGACAAAACACAATCGCGCTGTTTGTGCATGTATTCAAAAGTGTATCAAGTGCTCTTTGAGAGGTATTAAAATGTGTGTGACAAAATTACATGTAGACTTCAAAAACTAATCTCATGCTGATGTAACCAGGTAGTTTTCAGCTCTGCTCCCTGGTCTATAAACCTTGAAATACTTTCACTATGTTACTGCCATGGCTTTAAGCCCTCTGTTATTCCAACACTTGCTCAAACAACTTTGTAAACTAAAAACATTCAGGTGAACCTTATTCACAGTAATGAAAGCCAAAAGCTTCTGTATGCCCATAGGCTCCTCAAGCCCAGTGCTCATTTCTGCAGGTGAGAACAAACAGTATCAGTTCCCTAAAATATCTGAGGTTACTGAAAGAAAAAAGCAGGGTTTAGGTGATACTTGCTTTTCTTTTTAAAGAGGAGCTATAACAATCCCCCACCTACCCACATGCTAAAAAAAAAAAAAAAAAAAAAAAAAAGTGACAAAACCTTTGTTCTCTCCTGCAAAATATGTAGTGAGAACAAAAAGCAGAGGCACCATTAGTAGCTGGAGGCACAGCACTCTCCACACAATATAAGAAAAATCTTAATATTAGCTGTGACCACCACCATACTGTGTTAGCTCTAGGAAGTTTACTGCAGAGGAGGTCTATCCTTTTAAATAAAAATAAACATTCTTTAACATCAGAAATAACATCAACAGATTCAGCTACATGGACCTTACTTTAGTAGTCTTTGCTGGACTTCCTCCCACGCACTGGTTCGGCTTTCATCCATGTACATACGGAACAGAATGCGCAACCCACAGGCAAGACTACTAGTCTCCTGTTTCAGAAGATTAGGCTTTGATTTGCCTTTGAAACCTAGAGAAATTCCAAGCATCCTTTCAGATTTTTGTTTCATCTGACATTTTTCCTTACAGTCCCCCAATTTTCCTTCTAAGCATCTTCTCTGCAGGTAGTCAGAAGAGCCACTTTATGTAATGAATTTCTCACAACATTTAGTACAATGGAGTACCACTAAAAATGAACCTATGTTCATACACCATAACTGTGTTTGGCACCCATTCTTACACAGGCTTCCAACTAGATGTGAAACGTGGGTCTATGATAAAAGTACACCCTAACCACCTGAACAATGGACCATTTCATCTCAATCATACATCTATAGTGTACACTGGTTTATTGCTTGGTTTTGGTAAAAATGTCTACAATACTACTGTTTCCAAAGCTGCTATGGTATAATTAAACTCAATTTGCTAGTGGAGGTCCATACTTGCAAAAGGCATACCCATAAATATTAATACTACCTCACTCAAGCTGCAGTGGTTCACTGTATGCATACATTAATGCACAAAACAGCCTGCTGCATATTCACAGTATGCATTCACCATTAAAAATATTAATACAACTAACTTTGGTGCAAAGAATAGATTAAACATAATGCTACAGAGAGTCCATTTTCCATCTGTTTCAGAAAATGACACACATTTCACTTACACACTGGTAGGTAGAACAATCCCCCTAACAAGTTTTGGGGTTTTGTGCCTGCAGCTTCCAAGCATGGGACTCACGCCTACAGCCAGGTATCGGCTTGGCAGCAATAACCCAGTGAAACCGTAAATTTTAGGAAATCTAAAAGATATTTGCACCTGCACAGATGAGGCCTCCTCCCCTTAGGGATTCTAGGGTTATAAAGTTACAGCCTGATACTCAATTTTACATTCAGCATCAAAGCACTTCTGACCTATTTTTGGGCCAATTCAGAGCACAGTAACACATTCTTGCAAAATATTTCTCCAAGGTGACTGACTCACCTGCTTTCCAGAGAGCGGTTCTTTGTTCATTGTTTGAATTAAATGCTTTAGCAAATCTGTGAGATTCCAGCAGACAATCGAGAAGTTTGAAAAGCTGCTGCGATGTTAGAAAACGATACATCCCTTGATCTTGTGTATCCACATGGACATCAAAGTCTACTGCATCTCTCTTTTAAAAAAAAGAAAAAAAAATTCAAGTAAAAATGCACAATTGTCTTCAGCAAGCTCCTGTGATAACTCAATCCCACCCTGTTTTCATCTGTACTTGTATTTAAACATAAAACTGTATTAACAGTTGTGTCCACAGCCCAGTTACGTAAATCCCTTTGAACAATACATGTTTTAATCTCCACAGTGTGCTGCCCCAGCACAGCAAATGCAATTTATTGCAAGGTGTAAAAGATCTCAACAGTCTGCTGGAAGTTCTCAAGCACTTCTAAAAATTATAAATTAGAAGATGTTACAGGAGTTTATGAAACTTTGCCCATTAAGAGAAAAAGCTGTTAAAAAGGAAGATACCTATCAGTTTGACTTACTTGTGCTGCTGCTAGATTCTCTGCATCCTCTTTTTTGCTTGTCGCTGGGAAGAACACAATGTTGTCGATAGTCTGAATGAGTTCCAGTTGTACAACGCATTTGATCAAAAGAGCAGCAAATAACTTCTGCTCTGGAAATTCTTTAAAGAAAAGAAAAAGCAAATGGCTTGTTAACTGAAGAATTGCAATACTTTTTTTCTTTTTCGAGCTATTTTGGGGGTAATTTGAAAAACAGCTTAACTTCAAGCACATTCATAAACCAAAGCTGGAATCCACCTACCTGAATTACTCTTCTAAAACCAGGACTGATCACCATGTTAACAACTGGCAGGTTTTAAAAAACTATTTCCTAGCTTTGAAGTTGCCTGCCGTATATTGGACAAATATTCAATGTTACCTAAAAATCACCAAATTAGCGACCTTGTTGTTAGCATCGGTGCAATGGCAAGAACCAGAGGCTGAGACTCTCCACAGGCAGAGGCGGCTTAGAATAGCACGGATATCACTGATGCTTTTTTGCACTTGTGGCAAGTACTAACACCACCAGACATGAGCATTTTAAGCACCAACACGTAACTTTGCACAAGTGTCCTAAAGGTTTGATATACTCTCTTCAAATCAGTCTAAATACACTTTTTTTCCCCCAGCTATCGTTTCTGTTGCATTCTGCACAAAAAGAACTTTGCTCTTAAGAAAAAAAAATTACTCATTTACATAGCATTCTAAGGAGAGTACTATTTTTAGTATTTTGCTTTGGGTAAAAAGCCTGCAAGTTAGCAGCTGAACTCTAGATTTCCTAAAGCCCAGGTCAAAAATGTGGACCCCCGAGAGTCCAACAGAATTCTGTCATACTACATGAAAACAAAAATTTAACCAATGTAATTTTCTTCACATCATGTCTAAAGTTATAGCTGGCGCTATAACTAAAGAGATCAAACATCTGCTAAATGCTACTCTTAAGAGATATAAGATGCCAAATCACTACAAAACACGCACTTGCTGTTGGCCTGGTTTTACTCATTTCTTCACCTACTGTGGACCCTGCGCTGGGTTGATATGGACATCCATCTGAAGATCTAGGCTGAACAGAATCATGAATATCTACTGACTTCTGTGAGATTGTATCCTGAAAAGAAAGAAAGAAAAAAAAAAAATTAAACTTACAGAAAATTTCTACAAGCTCATCATCAATAGTGTTGTGCTCTTCGCAGCTTAAGACATTTGCTGTTTCAACACTGCACTTTTTCATTCGCTTTAGTCATATTTGATATTAGCATTCGAGAAAGATGTACTAAAAAAGATGACCTACTAAGAAAGAACTGAAAATTTAACAAGCAACAAATACTTGATTACACAGCAAGGTCAATGAGTAGTATTTTGCACATACAGTTTTTGTATGCCATCCAAGCATTTAGTATGCCAGCCAACAGTTAGTTTGACTTTTACCCAAATAAGTGTATGAGGTTTGCTGCAAGGTTCCAATACTGGGAAATGCAGTATCTAGCTTGATCTACAATAAAAACCTCTGATAGCTTCTGTGAGAATTTGTATTCCTTTTATAATGGGTGAAAATGTGAATACCCAGCTCTTAAATGACGAGTCCAAACAATATGAGACATCATCAAACTTTAATCTTTACTTGCCTTTACTCCCTTGAATATTCTGAATTATAAGCTCCTACTAACATGTTTGTAGGTGCTACAGGAATTTACCACAGTAAAATGAAGGAGGAGAATACATGCATATCACGAAAATTATCTAATCTGCTTCTGAAGCTGCTTCAGCAGACTTCTTCAATGTGTTCTGATTCCCCATGTTGTATTGTGTTAGCTTGTGAGCTAGAACTCAATGACTTTGGAAAATAACTTGTTGGGGTTTTGTTTTGTTTTATTTTTTAATAAATATCTTCCTTCTTGATCAGTTAAATTTAAAGTATTAAAATCAATGGTTAAGAACTACTGTTTTCATTTCAGAAAGCATACTTGAAAAAGGGGAATGTAATTAATGCAATTAATAACAAAATATGTTATCATTAACTGCAAAGCAGTCATATATAGCAATTACTGTCTCTTTCCATAACGCAGCATGTCTATTGGCTTTTCTTCCATAAGTGCCCCGGAGACTACACATTAACTCCCTGCACTGTTTTGTTAGCAAGATTTAAAGCTACACATACAGTTCCTATAAAGAACCTATCAACTTCTCATACCAGTAAATAACCGAGGTTTTCATCTTTATTAAGTATAAATATACTTTTAATATATATTATGTCTATAGATAGTACTACACTTCATTACATTGGAAGTACCTGAAGAAAAATTAGATGGAAATATCAAAAGCCTGCAAAAATTCTATCCTACCAAAAGAAAGGATCCAAAATATATATCCTTTAACACTATTTCTTACACAGGTTCTGTTAATTTTGAAGTTGTAAAGTGTCTTTTTACACTGAATAAATTTAATATATTTGCCATTTTTGCATGCTATTGACATAAATGCATCAAACCTGTAGCCAACGTTTAGATCAAACGTTTTATACATCACACCACTACAAATGAGTCAAGACACAGCAAGCGCATTCAGTCACATGGATGTAAAATACCTGTATAATGAGAACTGGCCATCGCAAACATTTACACTCTGTTGTAAGTAAATTATGTTAACACTTCATAAAGATAAATTGAGGCAGTCAGTCTCTCTTTGTAGAACTCATTTGGGACCACATCCTTGAATAATTTTTATCAAATGCTTCATTAATCTATAAAGAACTTCATGCAGCAATTTTGTGAGAATGTCCAAAAGCTAAACTAGTTCTCATCAGTAGTAAAGTAGCTACAGGGCTGCCACTTGTAGGCAAATCCAATTTTACATCAGTTTATTCCATCACTGCTAAGAAATCTGATGGTTATACATATTTTCTATTTTAAACACTGATGTTTAAGTTCTTATTATCAGAGAAAATTTGAAAGGGGGAAAAAAAAAAAAAAAGACAACCTAACTGGCAATCTTTCACCTCCAGCATTTTCTCTTCATGCCAATATATCAAAGAGAATATTGAGCAAAATGAAACAGAAACGACACCCCAAACCCTAAATACAGCACTACAGAGACCTACGAGACACAGGACATTACTTAAAACATACACAGATAACAACCTACAGCCAACTTCCGGAAGCCAACTTTGCTGCAAATACATACTTCTCTTTCTCAATTAATTCCTTGCATTTTTAAGCATGAAATAGCACTTTATCTGGAAAAAAACTTTTTCAAGTAAATCAAAATTGAAAAACGGGTTTAAACTAAGCATACTTTTCACACACGTTGTGTACCAAACTCTTGCAAGCTTTTAAAATATTTTTTATTTCAGCAGCTTACCAGTTTTTCTTTTGCATCGGAGGGAGATCCGGAGCCAAACTCCCCACTGACTGGTCGCCAAGTCAGCAGCCTTGAAAACACAAAACCAGTACCAAATTTAGTAAGTCTGAAATACAAATCAGAACCAATATTCTAAAAAGTCCACTTCAATATGGTGGTTTTTTTGTTTGTTTTAATTTAAATTAATGGAAGCCAAACATGAAAAGTGTCAGCTATAGATACTTCCAGAAATTAATAAACTAATTTCGGTTTTAAGTATACATTTTATTTTCACACATACTGAAAAATTTAAATATTGTCTTTTTTGAACTTCACCGTTTCTGCCACAATTGCCTTGGATGGACAACTGGATTATGTGGAAGCGGATCAATTTTTCTCAGAAATATTGGATTTGGCTTTAGGCAGTGCTCTAGTGCAATCAGTGGGCCTTGTTCTCTCACACTGCCTTAAGCTTTACCTGCAATAAGGAATGAATCTACCCCAGGACAAATCAGCACGAATGTCTGGAAATGTTCTGCATTCTCCGTTTGGGGTATGTTCCAGTACTGTGGTTCCACTTCCCCTTAGGATTCAACACTTCCCCTTAGGATTCATTGCTGTTATGAGGTACCAAGTCACTGACAGTACTTCTGATCTCTTCCCTCCTGTTCTCCTAAAGCATGTTGCTGTCTTGAGGATCTTCGCCTTAAGCACTAAAAAATTTCTACATTAACTGTAACTTATTGAGGCTGGCTGTGCCTGCCAAGAATTGAGGGAAATTGGATTAAATAACCTAAGTGGTCCCATCATCTCTTGTTCTATCTATCAAAAATCTATTGCCACAAAGTAAGATTAAAGTTATTTGTCATTGTTAAGATCTCAAACTATTTAGCCTCAATTGCGTGAGGCAACAGTTGATGGACATTTGTCTCTGCGTATCCTAAGTGAGATCTTTCCCATTGTGTTAAGGATCCTAAATTAACATATCACTGATCTCCATACAACTAAAGACCGTAAAACTAAAAAGACAAATCAGAGATAAGAAAAGATAAAATCTTGAGGCATGTAGTGAGACAACAAATAAAGCAGAGCAGAGAACTGAATTGATTCTTGAAAGCCATGAGGACACAAATTGCAGTTTATTCTGGATTAAAGGTTGTTAAATACAGCGTACCTTATTTTGGGCTATAAAGTCTTAAACTTCCACCTGCCAAAGGAGGTATTGGAATAATGAGCCATTGTGAGCCAGTAGAGGCCAGATCATCGTGATTTGTGCAAGGAACCAATCCTAACTTTGAATTTCCCAAGGACAAGAGGGCATTCACCCTGGCTTTCTCACCGCCAGTGAGCCAAGACTTGCTCTCATGAAACTTCAGAAAATTCCAATTTAAAAACAATTATAAACAGAATAGAAATTAAATAAAGAGAAGAATCAAAGAAACTATTAAAATGAGCTAACAAAATACGGGCTGGATGAGCAGACAGTGAGGTGGACTGAAAACTGGCTGAACAGCCAAGCCAAGAGAGTGGTGATCAGGGGCATAAAGTCTAGCTGGAGGTCAGTGGTGTACCCCAGGGGTCAACACTGGGTCCAGTTCTGTTCAACATCTTCATTAATGATCTGGATGACGGGGCAGAGTGGACCCTAGGCAAGTTTGCTGATGACAAAACTGCGAGTGGCTGATACACCAGGGGGTTGAGCTGCCACCCAGAAGGACCTCTGCAGGCTGGAGAAATGGGCTGACAGGAACCTTGTGCAGCTCAACAAGGGGAAACGTGAAGTTCTTCACCTGGAGAGGAACAACCCCAGGCACCAGCACAGGCTGGGGCCCGACCAGCTGGAAAGCAGCTTGGCAGAGAAGGCCCTGGTGTACACCAGGTTGGACATGAGCCAGTAATGTGCCCTTGCTGCAAAGAAAGCAAATGGTATCCTGGGCTGCATTAGGAGAGTTGCCAGCAGGTGGAGGGAGGTGATCCTGCACCTCTACCTCAGCACTGCGTCCAGTCCTGGGCTCCCCAATACAAGAGAGACATGGACATATTGGAGAGAGTCCAGCAAAAGGCCACAAAGATGATAAAGGGACTGGAGCATCTCTCCTATGAGGAAAGGCTGAGAGAGCTGAGACTGTTCAGCCTGGAGAAGAGAAGGCTCACAGGGGATCTCATCAGTGTAGATAAAATACCTGAAAGGAGAATGCAAACAGGGCAGAGCCAGGCTCTTCCCAGCGGTGCCCAGTGGCAGGACCAGACGCAACGGGCACAAACTGAAACACAGGAGGTTCCCTCTGAACATCAGGAAACACTTTCACTGTGAGGGTGACTGAGTGCTGGCACAGGTTCCCAGGGATGCTGTGGAGCTTCCCTCCCTGGAGATACTCAAAAGCCAGGACATTGTTCTGGGGAAACTGCTCTGAGTAGCCATGCTTAAGCAGGGGGATTGGACCAGGCAACTTCCAGAGCCCCTTCCACCCTCAGCCATTCTATGTGATTCTGTGTTAGTATCTTCAGCTATCAACACCTCAACCATTTTGTGGAAGCTTGGCAGGAGTACAGTTTGGGCTTTTCTAGTAAGTGATCCTTGCTGAAATTGGTAGCTGAGTAAATATTCTAGTACTAAGTTTTCTAAACAAGGAAGTAACATGATCATCTCTCTTTGCAAAAAGGTAACTTGCCAAGAACCAGTAGAGGCTAGTACTGCAACTAAGAACTCCTGCAGCCAATGCTGCCACTCTTAAATTGAAGAAGTTACACAATACCTGGAAGACTTTTTATATGAATGCTAAAAAAGAACAGCTGTAATCCCACCTGATCAGATTAATAAAAAACTCTGCCAGAAGACACTTCACACTCCAGAGATTCATAATATCTGATTATTTAAAGACAATTAGCAATAAAGCACTTGCCCATAAAACTTTCATATATACCACTGTGCGATTTGTCTCTGTCTTCATTTCAATGTTAACTATTGTGTTACTTCCAGACATGGGAAAACAAAGGTAAAACGAGCATTTGCCTTCTTGCCTAAGTACTGGGCCAGCCTCCACAACAAGCTGGGTATTAAAACTGCATTGTCAAAAAAAAAAAACAACCCCAAACCAAAAAAAACGGCAAGCTGGGAGGGCAGAAAAAGCTCCACCACAAAAATAAGGCTAATAGAGGATCTAAGAAATACAAATATGAAATGCCAGCCAAACCAGAAGTCACAGAAAAAGAACCAGATCCCATAAAAAGAGAGAAAAAAACAGAGCTGTACAGAAGGAGAAAGAAGCATCCTACTAGGGCTCAGAAAGAAAAGGAAAAAAAAATAGTATAAAGTCTCCATTAAAACCATGAACAAATACCTGTATATTGTTATCATAATTTTTTCTTACTCATCTAAAAAGCTTCCACTTTAATCAAATATGGTCAAAGTGAAAAGACTGTTTTGAGCAGTTCTGTGTCACCCAACAACTGTTTGGAAAAGAGCAGATGTACTTTCACCATGAGAAAGGAGACTGATTACATACGCTCAAGGGATTACTCATGTATAAAATCCAAGTAAGATTTACTTTACCCTGCAGAAGTTGGGAACCTCCCAGAAATGTAAGATGGAATAATATAATGAAGTTCTCAAAGAAGGCATAGAAAGATTAAAAAAGGAGATGGGAAGTAAAGAATGAAAATCTATGGAGAGTCAGATACCCTCCTAGGAAAAATAACTCTTTTGAAAAGCAGAAGTGCCATAAACATCAAAGGGAATAATGCACATATTTCAAATCAGATATAGCTAAAGGCAACAAGAGTATTTTGAATGTGTCTAAGAGACCCAAAATGCTGCTCTAGAAGGGTTTCTAATACTGAACTATAAGAATTATCCAGAAACCTAAGTTTTGATCATACGTGGAAACCAAAGCAAATGTTCTGCTAGTGAGTATTCACTTCAAAATCTTTCCAAGTATGGGACATAGTAAGTTAGGGCCAATTCAGCGGGACTTTTACATCCAGACATTTGGTTTCAAATTTTATTTTTGGCAGTTACCAAAATGCAAAAAAAAAAAATCCTGCTAGCTCCCAGATGTTTCATCTTTATTTTAGTATTATTTTTGGATGCAATTAATTCATACCTACTCACATAGAAAAGTAGGTGAGGTAGTGACAGATGGATTAACTTATCTTTTAAGCATGAATGAAGCACTCTCACAGTACTATCTGATACATAACCCTAAAATTAAGGAAAGACTAACGTGCAGAAGGTTCCCTTTTGCTTCAGTTTTCTTCAGGCCTGAACTAGGTGACACCCAGAAGCAAATGCTGTGAACTAACTGACAGACACAGGACAAGTAATAATACAACAGTCCAACATTAAGACTATCAGATGTGAAAACAAGCAGTGTTTCACCTCAGTGTTCGTAGGTTAGGGGAAAAAAAACCCTCATCTTTGGTATAATGCTGGGACATGATTTCTTGTTACTCTGCTCTATGATGTATATGTGTAACATACTACTCAGAATAGTACAGCCTTGTTCCAAGAAACTTCACACAGTTATAACACGAAGGTAAAGACAGTTACCAAATACACAAGATAATTTTCATAAAAAGATTAGGATTCATAGAAACATATGATGGAAGTTAACCATCAACCACAGAGACTTAAATCTGTAAGACTGTTGCAGTATTTTAGTATTTTGTGCAAAAAGCTTCACATGTAATTACAAATTGCAAAGTCTGCTTATCAATAGCATTCTTCTATTACAAAAAGAAAATGACCAAAGAATCAGATAGTACTTCTCAAAAAATCCAACATTTTAAAATTGAATCAAGTTACAGGTTGGTTTTTTTTTGCTTATCTCCCATACGGTATTTCTAGTTTTTAACAGTTTATTATTTACAACACAGTAGTAGTATATCTAGCACCTAATTTATCATTATGTTACGATATAACATAATCATAACTGTTAAGACACTCTGCTTCTATTTAGTCCACACATAACAGCTTTTTGTTCACCCCACCTATTAGATATCTAACAGTTTGAAATCGGTAGGTCATCTAGCTAAACTATTTTATGAAGTATAAATATTGACAGTCATCTTACGCGTGAGGGATTGTAGTTTTGAAAATATCCAGCATGCAAGTACAAGTTTTATCCCAGATTTCTAGGGTAAACTTTTCACCATTTAGGATGACAACATTCTCCAAACAGTTTGTACCAGACCGTGCCAGTTGTTCATTGTCTGGAAAAGACAAACAGTGCATTTGTTTATTCACATTCAACATAGTAAAATGTTAACATTGTTTAACGTAATTTGGTACAGTCCTACCTTGCTGCACACACCAGTACAGCTGTGCAAATATATCATCCAAAAGAACATCACTAAGTACTTCTAAATACTGTGTGAATACATCACATATTGCGTAAAGTGCATGGTTGCAAGTAGTTGTCATCCATTCAGCTTTCTAGGAGAGGGGGGAAAAAAGGTTACAACTTTGTTGAAGGCAAAACTTTTAGGATACACATCCCTGCAGGCAGATGGATATATGTATTTACTCAATCTGAATTGCTTTATAGTGACATGCAATTCCCTTCTGTATCTCAAAACCCGCAAAACTTGGAGCCCCAACTTTTGCTTTGCTAACTAGCAGGTGTAAAAAACTACAGAAACAGACAAACAACTATTCTTGGAGACCAGACTGTAGGACTGACAAGCACCTACCATCATGAGATACTGAGTTTGACATTAAACTTAGTGTCTAACCCTAGCTTAACAGTTTCACGCCAAGCTAAGTTTTCTGTGTTTCTTCTAAATATTTTCCAGGGAATAAAACTTTAGAAAGCAAGACATGTCCTACAAATAGTCAGAGCCTCCCAAACAGTTGACAATTTTGATCAAACTTCTAATATTAATGTAAATTACGTGTAAATTATTAGTAAGCCCATTTTTGTTTCACTTCCTTGTCAGGAGAGTGCCTGGTCCTGGTTTGGCAGGTCAAAACCTATTTGGCTGGTCAAAAGGGTGCAGTGAAAGCACAGTGCCCTTTGGAGGTTTGTTTGTTTGTCTTTTTTTGGTTTTGTTGTTCCCCCCCCCCCCATCAAAAAGCTTTGAACTAACAGAACTTATTTCTTCTAATTGTGACTTCACTGCTTCACTGCTGATTATAAGCCTCATTCCATGAAGCATGTTGCCATGAAACGATGCGTGTCTCAGATTCCAGACATCATGTGTAAAAGCTACAGTTCTTACAAGCCCTAGATATGTTGTGGTTTATGCTATTCTTCTATTGTTCATAGCACAAGCTACTAGGCCTTTTACACACATGGTTTTAAAAAAAAAAAAAAAAACCACGAAAAAAAGATAAAAGTGACAATACCTCCAACAGAATGCTATTAAAACAAAATAAGGTTACTAGAACCACAGGTCAATCATGCAAGTTTTGAGGTTTGCCTTACATTACTTGATAAGCTATATTACTAATCAGGTTTTCTACTGTAAATATAGATCTCATGTGAACTATCTTCCTCCACTTTTTTCACCTCAGTCTGCTGTTCTGGCAGTTTCATGTTGTCAAATATCCTGAAGACAATCCGAAACAAATCTTGCCACCAGTGTTTTTCATAAGTATGGCCATATGTCTTCATTATTTCAAACATTACTGTTAAGCCCCTGAAATGAAAAAAGAACAACATATATTTAGAGTTACAAAAAGACATACACTAGACCAAGTATGTCCAACTGCAACAGCAATAACAAACTCAAATACTGTTAAGAACGTTATACATTGATCTGATGTGGATCAGTCACACTAGGACACTAAAATTAAGTAGAAAGTCAGCTTGTTTAAAAAAGCACTTAGTCACAGGCAATAGGCAGAAAACACTTTTGAGAACTGTGGTAGTTTCAAATTAAAATAGGAAAACAACTTATTTACAAAGGACCACAAAAATAAAGGAACAAGTATTGGATCCAGGTACGAAATACAGAAGTCTAGAAGTGAGATTAATCTTCACCAGCTATAAAGGGAGTCTAGATGCACAGCTCACATGTAGATGCGTAAATTTAAAATAATTTGTATACAACCTCTCATATTTAGCATCAGAACTGCAACAGAATACACTTTACAAAGGAAAAGCCATATTGAAGGAAAATAAGGAGGTTTTACATGAAATCAGAGTACAGCTTTGCTTTTTCAACCGTTTCTGCAATCCTCAACCAGTTAATGAATCATGGTGTAAAACCACTCTTAAAATCCTCAAAATAGACAGGCAAGACACAGGAAGGAAGGCAGGACTGGGGTCATGAGTTCTAATTAAAAGCAAAAAAAGATTCCAACAGAATTTTGCTGTTGGAGTCCACTAAAGCAAAACCTACTCATTGCATGAAGCATTCTACATTTGTTCTAAACAGAGCAAAAATGGAAGTGTGACACGAGGCTTACCCAGGTCAACTATGACAAATCACTAAAATGGAATAAGTAGCAGGGGCATGTATCATGGAATCAAACATCATACGTTTATATTTACTAATGAATAGAGAGGATCAGTATTGCTACTGGAAAAATACAGCCTTAGATATTAATCCTGTGTAATACCTCATTAAAAAAAAAAGTGGGGTGGGGTGTGTAATGCGTATTCGCCATTTAGAGTTGACCTTCCACGTTAAAGTAATGCTTGCTTGTTCTATGTTAGGGAAGTTAAAAGTTGACTTTTACATTTTACTGTGTTCTATGCATAAACTGTCTCCATCGCATCTGATTTTAAGTTGAGCTGAGCTGTTTTAAAACAGTTTACAGGTTCTATAACAAACGGAAAACAGTCACAATATTTAAATTTACTTAAGCTTTAATTTATTTTCAAATGAACTATTTAGATAGTTCTTATCTTCGTGATTTCATGGCTATTCATCCTAAACAGGAACTATTTGAATATTTAAGGAAATGTAATACTTATCTATTTAACATAATGCAATCACAACCATGTAACTTCATTATTTATTATAACGGAAGATAAAAATTACACATGTAAAGAACACAGACTTAATTTCTACATTCCAGCTTCTATTTAAAAGGTGTTTTTAAAAAGTCTGGTGTTCCCACAGTGATACCACCTAAATTAAATACGGAAGTCATTTTATGACAGTTACGTTTATTAAGAGAGTTGTTTCCATTTTAAAAGTGTAAAGTAAGCCTTTTAAAATTTGAATTACAAATACTGAGTGTTACCTGGTTCTTACATCTAATTTGCATCTATTGATGATACAGGACAACTCAAACAGAATTGGGAACCATCCTCGCACCCACACTCTGTCTTCAGGAGCCACATTCATATCATCACTTGTGTATTCCTTGAATGCCTTTAGAAGAAAACACAGGGTTATACAGAGTTGTAAGAGTTAGATTCTTCAAAATAAAACAATTTGGAATGTAAATAACAATCTCTGCTGTACTAGTATTACACCCTGATACCTCAGGTGAGCTGGCAATCAATAATACTGAGAAAGGTGAAGCGTTTTTTAAAGTAATGCTTAGTATTTTACGAAAAATAAACTAAAAAAGTAAACGAGATGATACATTCAAGCATTACTTTTTGCTTGCGGTTTAGTCTGAGTCTTACTCTCTTTTTATAGAGACAGCACTGAAAGTGAGGAGCTACCATAATATTTTGAGGATGTCAAACATTTTGGTTATGCCATTATCCATTCTTCACAACATTGCTCAGCAGAGAGCAGTTGCTGAGATATGTTGATTTCCAGCAGCTCTCAGGAAAGCTAGTCACCAGCTGAACTAGGGGGATGGGGGGGTGGGGTGGTAAAAGAAAAAATAATATATTTCTGATACTTTCAAAGCCTGTGGCATTTTATACTCTGAGTAAAGTACATTTCTCATTAATCTCTGAAACTTGAAGGGAAGCCAATAAGGTTAGCTGAGTATTTTTTTCCTTTATAAAAGCAGTCTTGATTAAACCACTTATAATTTAGTTAATACAGACTATACCTGAGGTCTATCAGATACATATTTTGCACAGTGGCGAATAAGGCGGATTGCTTCCATACTGGTATCTGGAAATGCTGCATTGCAGGCAAATTCAGACAAGCACTTTACTGCATCCTGGAAAGAATCTATGGTTGCTGGGAAGTGTTTTTCAAACACAATTGCTGGGAGAAAAGTGTGAACAGAAGAAAAAAAAGTGTCATGCTTTAAAATCTATTAATTCTAATATGAACTGTTTGTAACACAAGTTATGAGAGACTGGTTCATTGATCACTGCTGTCAAATGCTTGAGCAGTAATAAAAACTAAAAAATGAATGCTCAACCAAAAAAAAAATAAAAATCCTAGAGGGCATTCTACTTTGATGGCAAGTGTTTAAAATAAATCAAGGTAGCATCTAGTCTAAAGGAGGGAAATCTAACAGTTACACAAGAACAGAGCAATAGGCTTACTGCTAAACGCTAGCCTGTGTGGTCAGAGCTTAAGAGGGCTACATAAAGCACAGAGTTACATCTACAAAAGGACTTCTTCCCTCAGCAATATGGTCCCATTGCCTTGATTTTAAACAGTCACTTCTGAGGAAAAAAACATTCTTCAGAAATGCTGAAAAAAGTTTTAGGAACTTGCAGAGGTTGAGACAGAATAAAGAGAACCCATATGGCACTTAGAGCCTGAGATCTAGATTAGAAGGGGAAAGGGGTGGGGGGTGGGGGAAATAGTGCCACCTAGTGCAGCACTTTCTCCTGAACAGGACCATAGAGGAGCACAATTCAGAAACAGGGAAAAAGAAAAGCAAACAACATAGTAATAAAAAGACTAGACTTTTTTTTTTTTTTTTGGCGGGGGGGGGGGGGGGGGGGAAAACATAAA